TTTTTGCAATTGATTGACATGTGGACTGACAAACACCCTTCGATCGAGCGTCCACCTCCCGTATCTCCCGTATCAACACGACCTTTCCTTACAACGAGGAAAGGACACGTGTATGCGAGTGTGACGTACGAGAAGCCGTCGCACGAATCGGCGGGCAATATTACGTTCCTCCGGAAAACCGTTGTTCAGGGTTCGTAGAGGCTGGGTTTGTCATTATCGATACACACTTTCCACCCTACTCGATATTGTTGTCATTCAACGAGTTGAGAGTCATCCCGTGGACGGCAGTAAAACCCCACTAGCCGCGCACTCTATGCACCGAATGTCAGCGCTTTGAGCGCTACGAAACCAGGGGTTTCTACTACCGTGTGCGGAGTGAAGACGAACATAGAGAAAGAGCCACGCGACTAAGACCATGCACGTCGGATTCCGAACTGGTCAGTGAACGATGACAGGAGTTGATACGGAAACAAGACACGCGAAGCATGCCGAAGCCCTTCTGTTCTAAACGACGGGCCGTAGCCAGGTGGGAAGTTTGACAATATTTTTTGGATTAAATTTGTATTTCTCTCTCCTCTCGCGCCACATTTCCGCGCGCATTTTGTGTCGCTCGAAAAACGATCTACTTATTTCATCGGACCAACACGGGGGATCTCAGTTCCATCTGTGTCCCCATACTCAATTTCCAAAAATCCTTGGCACACCCCATCTTGCTGTTTTTCTGGGACTCTTTCCACGCATCCAGCACTCCGATCGAAAGACAGCACAGGGCATTAGGTTGCGCGTCACATACCCAGCCGATGACCTTCTAGGACACTGTTAAAAACCCTTAGCAAAGTTGCTCCCAGCGGAGACCAAAACTTGTCACAAAATTCCACAGGAAAACTGCCTGGTCGGGGATACTTGGCCCTGGCCATGCTTTTCATGGCAGTAGCGAGTTCGACCTTACCTGTGTGACTGGTTGATCCAATCTTTCCTCTTCAGGATTGGATAAAATTTTGTTTGGTAGATTTCCTCAGCATGTGTTCCATTTCCCTCGGGACTACTACCAATAAGGGTTCGTTGGGGTCCTTTTCCGAGGTCAGTAATTTCTCATAGAAAATTTTAACATATTCACATATCTTTGTAGATTCTTGTGCTTTTCGAAGGGCAAGTTTAATTGGGTGGGTCTTTTTTTTTTTTTTTTTTTTAAACTGGGTGGGTCATTTCAGTAATCATATTCGGCTTGTAATCTTCTTTTCTTACCTCAAAGGTTGTCGTATTCATGCGGTCCTTATGCAGCATGTTGTCGATGCATCTGAACTTGGCCCACGAGTCCTGTCTGTTTATTTGGAGGTCTTGCTATTCTTGTAACCATAATGATCAGCAGAGAAGCCAATGTCTGTCCGAGAGGGATGAAGAACCCAGATTCCTTTCCGCTTTCTCTATGTTCCTTTGTAGCTTGATTTTTTCGTACCTTCTGTTTGCTGCTTTAACTCTTGAGATTGTTTTGCGCAAACCCGCATTAAGTGTACGCCTTTGTCCAACCAATCCCCGGGATTCGAGTACCGTGGAGAGGAAGCTCTCCATTCTTCCCAAAAATTTAATACCCATTGTGTCGTTTGTGAATCGTCCATGATCTGTATGTTAAGAGATAAGGCACCCCTTCCCTTTTCCAGATCCGCCCCCATGCTCACTACGATGGACAAAGGCTTGTGATCCGAAAGGGGTTCGGGGATAATTTCAACATTAAATACCCTATGCAGTGCCAACTCATTTTACTTTAAAAGTAGGTGATTCAATTCCATTTTTTCCTATAAATATAAATTAATTTTTTAATAGAATAAACTAGAATAACATCCAGTCTGTGGTAGGTAGCCGGTGAGTTGGAAGAAAACCATGTGTATTCCCGCTGTGTAGGGCGGAACTGTCGGTAGAGGTTAAACAAACGCCCTACCAATGAATAGTCAATGGGTTAAAAACACCCCCTACCAATGAACTGTCGGTAGGGGTTAAACACACCCCCTACGAATGAATTGTCGGTAGGGGTTAAACAGACCCCTTACCAATTAACTGTCAGTAGGGGTTAAACATGACCTATCTCTCGACGAGCTGTTCATTGAGGGCCGCCGACTTGAAGGGGTGAGATAGTGGGGATGAAGAGAGTCTATGGTTTCGTTCAGTACTGTGTTTCAATCATCGCCTACCAATAGGTACTCCGTGTTGGGGATGTTTGCATTTAGTGACTGGAAGAAACCGATTTTTGAACAGTGATCTGCAGGTTAATTCCTTGGCTTTTGCATAGTTCCAAGTTCTTTTCATTTTCATTACCATCAAAGGGCGTTCCCTGCTCAGTTAATCCCCTGGATTCCAGGGTAATCAATGCTGGTAGAGGGAGGTCTTCTCAATTTTTCTTCAAAAAAGATCCTTGTTGAAGCTGTAAATGTCCTTGCGGAACGCTGGACCCGGCTTCCAGCACGTGCTGCTCCATCCTATCCCCTCTTAGGGTCTCGTTAGACACTCCTAAAAGAATCCTAAAAGATTTAGGACGAGTCCTAAAAGTTTTTTAGGATTTCGCGCGGCGTCGTTACACGCAATCCTAAAAATCGTCTTTTAGGAATTGTCCTAAAAGGTTTCCCGCAGCCCGTTTTCATACACGTATACGCAGCCGCGTCGCGGATGTCCGTCCAGTCCTGGCTGGTGTCCGTGGTCCACACTGTCGTGGGGCTTGGGCGGCTGCCGACGGGTTGGTGAAGCGCGCGGTTGCCGAGACCTTCAAAATTTGAAATTCGAATTTTGGCGGACGCAGGCTGGGGGGATGGAGGAAGGCAAGACGACGCGTGTGACGTACAAGCCACGGCGGTGGCGGCCGCTTCGCCGTGGGTAACCAGCTTTGCTGTACGCGGGAATTGTGGGGCGCGCGGCGCATCTTCCTGCTCGGTGCATCTTCACGTACGGACGTGTCGTCGCCTTCATTGTGGAAGCGTAGAGCAGCGGGCGCGTCTTCGGCATCGCGCTTGTTCCATCTCCTGGGGTAGTGCACAGCTGCGGGACGTCTACGGGTCACACAGTGTGCGTGGTGTCCAGTGGCAACGCTGAGCAGCGGGCGTGTCTTGGGCGGTTGCGGCAGAAGCGAAGGTGTGGCGGGTAAGCGATTTGCGAAGATGGATGGCGGAGGCTGCGGCCACAGTCTGTGGGCGGAAGAGATGGAGGCGGTGGCGATGGCGGTGTCTACCGTCGTCCTGAAGACGATGAACGAGATGTCGTCGTCGTCACGAGACGTGGCGAAGCAGCTCCGTAAACGACGAGCGCTGTTGCAGAGCATTGCCGAAGCGGCGGATTGCGTGGCGACGTGTGAGGCAGTGGTCTAGTTGTGTGCCGCGCTGTCGTCTGGCGTTTTCCCCCGGCAGACCCCTCGATGGTGGATCAAACGACGTACTGGCGGAACATGGGAGGACCTCCGGCAAAGCGATGACGCCACGGACGAGTTCTACCGCCAAAAGTTGCGCATGTCGATGGCCATGTTCAAGCAGGCCGTCCGCGACGTCACTTCGGCGCTGCTGCGGGCATACCCCGACGCCATCAAGTGGCCAGTGGGCCGCAGACGTGCGCAGATTCTCCGCGCTTTCCATGACAAGGGATTCCCAAACTGCTTCGGCGCCATCGACTGCACACACATCTACATCGACAAGCCCGCCGACGCACCTTCTGCCAACTACTACGACCGCAACCACAAGTTCTCCGTGCAGGCGCAGGTCATTGTGGATTTGGATCTCCTGATCCTACATTCCACGTCGGATACCCGGGGAGTGTGCACGACGTCCAAGTCCTGCACAATTCCCAGCTCTGGAGGCACGCGCAGACTAGCGAGCTCTTCGACGCAACTCCAGAGAATTTGCCGCACGGTGTCGTCACGCGAGGATGCCTGCTGGGCGACAACGGTTATCCTGTTGTCTGACCATGGATCGTGCGCAGATTCTCCGCGCTTTCCATGACAAGGGATTCCCGAACTGCTTCGGCGCTATCGACTGCACACACATCTACATCGACAAGCCTGCCGACGCACCTTCTGCCAACTACTACAACCGCAACCACAAGTTCTCCGTGCAGGCGCAGGTCATTGTGGATTTGGATCTCCGGATCCTAGACGTCCACATCGGACACCCGGGGAGTGTGCACGACGTCCGCATCCTGCACAATTCCCAGCTTTGGAGGCGCGCGCAGACTTGCGAGCTCTTCGACGCAACTCCAGAGAATTTGCCACACGGTGTCGTCACGCGAGGATACCTGCTGGGCAACAACGGTTATCCTTTTGTCTGTCCATGGATCGTGCAGCCGAATGGAGGAATAGACCAAGGTCCTGACGAGGAGCGCTTCGACAACCGGCAGAAGGTGGCGCGGGGGTGTGTGGAGAGGGCGTTCGGCCGACTGAAGTGCATGTGGCGTCTGTTCTTGCGCACCCACAAGACGAACCTAGAAACATTGCCACAACAATTCGTCGCCGTCTGCACTCTCCACAACATCCTCCTCGATGCGGGGATCGACTTCGATGAGAACCTGTTATGGGAGGTGGGTCCGGACGGCGTCAGGCGCAGAGTGGACTTGGGCATTGTCGGGGGCGGCGGAGGTGAGCGGCCACAGAGCTCCAACGTCAAGGGGAAGTTGTTGCGGAACGCGCTTCGCGACCGCCTAGCTTTGATGTAAGCCCTCGCGGAGAGAGAGAGAGAGAGAGAGAGAGAGAGAGAGAGAGAGAGAGAGAGAGAGAGAGA